TTTTTTTTTTTTTTTTTTTTTTTTTTTTTTTTTTTTTTTTTTCAATTTTTATTAAGTTTCACATTTCTATTAGTTTTCCATTTGACGCCTTAAACATCTTAATTCACATTGAAAAAGATATAAAGCCTCTTCGAAGGCATTAATTGGACGAAAGTACGATTTCCTATCAATCGTAGGCGATAAGCGATCTAGAAATCAGATCGTTTTGATCCAAAAAACGATTTTTCTCATTTTCGATTAAACTTGAAATACTTATTGTGCTAACTAAACTGTAAATAATTATTCGAGGAAGAAAAAAAAATAAACAATGGATCTGTACTCCTACAAGAACAATAACAATAATAATAATAAGAAGAAACAAATTGCGAGAAGCTTTTTCAATTCTCTTCTTAAATCTCAAATGCATTTTTTTTAGAGATAGATTTGTCGTTCGTATTTTATAGAAATAATATTAAAATTCGATGGAACGAGTTAAGTTTAATGGAACGTTAAACTAGATCGTGGAATGTATATTGACATAAAAAAAGGGAACTAACATTTATAAAATACAAATCAATTGAACCATAGTAATTGTATATATATATGTATATATATATATGTATATATGTGCATAAGTAAATTTCTTTGATCTTTCTTGTCTTTCATTTATCTTCACGTATAAAAGATATTTTATCGATTATTTCACATTCTTAAACACCTGTCGAATATTTACAAATATATTGTAAAATCGAGCTGTTTCATTCGTTTATGAGTACAATGACGATGTGTAAAGTTGATTGTACATGATTGTTACATCGCTAATTTCCACATTCTTCCGTGATTCAAACAAAATATTTGTTTTAAATCATGATCGACATAAATGATCAGATGTGTATTAGACGAATAATATATTTTCCTCAACTTAGGAAAAATATAGACAACGCGTCAAAACAACAATTGAAATCGCACACACAGAAAAAAGGAATGTTTTAATTATTAATAATCTTTTAAAGATTCAAGTATCGTATTGATCACGAATACATTTTCCAAACAACGAACACGTCCAGGATTATATTAATTTGATATTATTTTGTTCCTTTGAAAATCCACGAATTCTTATTTCGTTTTCGATTTACATATACGCGATTATAATATTTTCACTTGAAATTTTTTTGTTCTCCCGATCGTTAAATATTTTTCATTTTTAAAACGAACCAACTTGAAAATTTACCACCAGTCGCAGTTCGTGATCGTTGTAATCACATAAGTGCTGTTGAAGGTTCTAACGAATTTCACAAAGTAGGAACATTTAATTAATAAACTCAAGTTTGAGTGTAATTGAAATGTGAACAGGCAGTGTTTAGTAGAATAAAGTAAAGACAGAAGTTAGTTATAAACTTGTCTGCTAGGTAAGTTATAGAGAAACGTAAAAATAATAAATTTTTAGTCTTTTACATTAGTTAGTTTGCGAGCTTTTCTTTTAAATAAATTTGAATAAATGCGCTTGGATCTACTTGGAAACAATTACGTATTTCAAACATTCCTAATCAACTTTAGGTTTCTACAACGGCGCCCTTCGTAAATCGAAACTAATGTTATAACGGATAATATTATGGATAACAAGTCTGCGTGGGACGTCATACGATGGACGTGGTTAAAGGGTTAAATCGATATAACAAGCCTATTCGATTCAAAGCAGAAATTTCTAACTGCTGGCGTAATACCGAGCTTAATTTGACAGAGTATACCTTCTACTCGTTGATGGAAATTCGTGTCGGGAACACGCAAAGCACGACGACGTTTATAGGATCACCGTAAATGATCGTCGGAAGCAAAATTACAAACTTTCCTACGAGCATCATGGATGTTGGGAAAATCGGTCCTATATATATTGATAATCGTTTTGACGTTCGCATATTCTCATTGGAATGTTTAATATGAATTATCCTTTGTTAAACGAAAGGATTAAAATATAATCATTTTCAACGAAGATAAATAGTCCCGATTTTGGAATTAGGATACGACGAGGATCAAACGTTTATATTCCTGTCACCAAAGATTAGTTTAAAAATGTTCTAAGATATGCCAAAAATGTTGATAAACAGTATAAACAGAGAGCGCGTTTCGCAATCGGGGACTTGTTTAAAAGCCCAAAAGCGATTGACATTTAATTCGCGTAGACAAGATTCGTTTACCCTTCGTGAAAATTCAAAGATAGCAATTAGAAAGGAAGTAAGACATTTAAATTCTCGATACGTAAAGGGATCTATGAGCTTGTTGAGGATTTCCATTTTGCTTGGAATATCGAGGATTTTGTAGAAGTTCTCTGGTCTCACTGGGGGAGCCAGGACTGAGGCTGTTGGTCGTCGATGTTTCAACTCGATCGCTGATGATTTCTTCTTCGGTGATTTGTTCAAGGAAAAGAGTCGATTGTACGTTTTGATTATCGCCGTTGATAACCGGTGGGGGAGAGTAAGCCGGTGGGGGACTTTTCGGTGGGGAGTTTTCCGAGTTCTTTTCGTCTTGAGTTGTGATCGATCCAACGGAGGGTATCTGCTGCATTTGTTTGACCCTTCTGGCGTGTCTGGTTGTGAGTCCACCAGTTTCGACATCTCTTTCTAATCGATGCCCAGATCTGGACCTGGTTAATTGTCTTTGAACGTATTCCTCGAGATCGTTTTCTTCCTTCCTAGCAATGACGCGATTGAGAATGATCAAGAAGATGCCGACGAAGATGGCGAAGAGACCAACAGCGACCAACTCGTTCCACCAACCACCGGACCGTTCGCTACTCCAGTGAGCCAAATCACCGGGCAGAAGACCGCTCATCAGTAAGAATGCTCCTAAGACCAGAAAGACCACTCCGATGTGGAGCATCCCAATAGAAGTGACCACCTTAGTGTCCAACATGCCTTGTCCAGCGGCACGATTAGGGTGTACTCCTTTGTGGTGTCTTGGGTGATGGTCCAGGGAACCAGTTGACGCTCTCGGCGATGTCAGCCCACTCTCACCCGATTGGGCGCTATACCGGCGCTCGCGAGCACGACGTTGCTCATCCCGACGCTTTCTCTGACGCTTGATGGCCAGCGCCGAGTGCAATCCAACCGCGTGCATCCTGCAACACCGGAAATACAACCCTTGCTGAGTCAACTTCTACAATTCTTCTACGACTCTTTCTTACTCTCTTATTTCTTATTTTTTTTTTTTTTCACGAATAAATTGATACACTTCATTTTACTCGAACGATCTCATCGTCGAAACAAGAGTTTTCCTCAATGTTTCTACGTATTCTTTCTCTTTCTCTCTCTCTCTTTCTCTCTCTCTCTCTCTTTTTAAATATGTACACATACACACACACATATATACACTTTCGTACTCTAACCTCAAGTGATTTGGAAAGTTTAGTGAATCTAAGGGCTAAAGGGTTTGCTCACGAGGTTACAGGATGCACTGCGATGGAGTGACACGTCCGATTTATTTTCATTTGCTATTATATCGTTGTTACCAAGAGGGAGACTCGCTCTCGATGTCCTCGAATCCCCGAAGGCTTCTTCTTAGGCTTTCTCTCTCTCTCTCTCTCTCTCTCTCTCTCTCTCTCTTTTTCTCTCTATCTTTTTTTTTTCACATTCTCTTGACAATCACCAAGCTGAAGAGAAAATAATCTAACAAGAAATTATAAGAAGAGAGAGAAGAAGAAAAAAACAAAAACAAAAAAAAATTAAATTAATAAAGGACACTCGTATAGGAAAGGACGAAGGAAAATATCTTCGTTGATTTATTATTTCTTTTGAAAATGTTATATAAAAGATCCTTGGAGAGTAATCCTCCACATATTCGTTTATATTCTCACGATACGAAATTCTCTTTTCCCTACCCAAAGATTTTGTTCTTTTTATGGTCCTTTTTCTTTCGTACTCAAATAATAATGAATCTTTTTTATGCAACCCCTCTTCTTTTTCTCCTCACCATGGCATTTAATTGAGGATTAAATTAGAACATTCGAGTTCGATAAGTGGGTCATTTATTTTAGGCGATAGAGTATAAGATAAATATTTGAAAAAAATTCTAAACGATATAACGCGAGAGTTGCTTATTTATTTTTTTACTTTTTTATTTGTACTTGTTTAAATAGAAAAAAATGTCGCTTATATATTTCGAACGTTCATCGTAGTATCAGAGGGAAATTAATTCGATAGAAAGTTTGTGTTCTTGATTCGTTTGATTTGAAGAACTTGCGTAGTGCAGGATATAACTGGTTATGAATCGATGCAAATCAAGATAAGAATCAATGCAATTTACTAAACTTTCTATATCTCGAATACATCGTAACATACTTTTCGAATTTTGAGAATCTTCCTTTTCGCGTAGTCGAAAATATATTTCGTGCGTTATAAAAATTCAAACGTATGGTGGGATTTTGTTACTCTATTCGATCGAAGATTTTCGATGAAAAAGATAAAAAGGATTAGAAAAATAAAAGATTTGTAATTTTATCGAATTGCCTGTGTACTTTATAAGCCGATCATACTTCGTCATAAACTTGCAATTGTGATAAAACCTACTTTAAAGTCAATGGATTTTCTCGCAAGGTGTGTCACAATGATATTATCTACTAGAAATAAAATAACGTGTCACGTAGGATATCGACTAAACTGGACCTTTTCAAAGAATATTTTTATTTGAAGAAAGAAGAAAAACAGAAAAAGTTACAAAATGTCATAGAGAGAGAGAAATCAAATGAAAGGTGAAAGGTTAACGTTATTGACCATTTGACGCAGTATATAATTTTATTTTATTTTATATATATATAAAATATACAATTAAATCCACATAAAACGTAATCTCTATTTTTTTGTAATGCACGATCAATATACGTGATAAAAAGTTATTCGGGCATCCATATTCGATAATAACGAAATTGATATCTATCGCTAATGATCGATACGAATTTACCCAGTTATTAATTAACGGTCATTAATTAAACCTTTCAAGATGTACATTTGATTTCATGATTTAGTGGTCTACTGGTTCGAATGAAATGAATTTATTTGTTTATTAACTTGTTAAGAAATAGAAAGAAAGAATTAAGCTAAGGTTCGAATTAATTACGTAAAGCTTATATTTAAATAAAATAAAAATAAAACAGTATCTACTACATTTACATTCGTACGAGACATTCATTAAGTATTTATCAACATAAGTCAAAATTATCTTCTCCTAATTTTCTTTTACTTGGCAAATATGTACCGTCTTTGCTTAAGAAGAAAATCTACTTTGTCAGTTTAAAATGTAAATTACTTTCTTCCAAATGGCTTTTATGATATACATACATACAAAATTTGCAAGTAAGAGAGAAGGGGGGAGGGAGGGAGAGAGAGAGAGAGAGAGAGCGAGAGTGAGAGAGAGATAACATAATTACATAGATCTACGTACGAAATATAAAAAAAATATATATATATATATATTAATTATTTCATAAGCGCAATATGTTGCATGCAATGCATATACATGAAGCGAAGGATAAACAGCAATTTTTTTGCATTTACATTATACTGTCAAGGAAATTATTTTTATCCACAATCGCGTTTTATATTCTGTAATAATATATCATTATTATTAATTTTAACACTTCATGTGAAAGATGAAATGTATCTCTTGAGGTTATATTTATTTTAGGATTCACGTGTAATTTAGGAATGCATCACTAATTTATCACAAATTATCATTCGACCATTTGACCAGAAATGCTAGAGTTACGTTAACGTTAAAATTTGACAATAACATAACCGCAACCATATAAATATGAATATTTCGTGCACGTATTTTATTCGATTTTATATTAAATCAAATTCCCGCGAGTTAATTATTATTTTAATTGTATATTATAAAAATTTCATTAAAACGAAAATAATAAAAGAGAAAAAGAAATATAAATAAATTAAATAAATATCATATCCAAAGCGATACTCCCACTTTATACCCACGTTTATAATTGTTTCTTAATTGGGAAATACTGTTTTGTTATCGAAAAAAGATTTGTTATCTCGCTAGAAAATGATCCTACCAAAACACGTGGATACTCGTTATCATTTATTTTCCATATATACGTTTTGAAATATTTTATTGTAAATCTCATTTTAAATGAACGAATTTTTCATTAATTAAATTTCGATCAAAGTAAACATCCCTTTCCGTCCCGCCTTTTTGTCATTATTTATAAACCATTTTTTTCAATACGGCGCTGTAACAATTCAAAAGATCTTCCGTTTATTGGATAAAAGAGTAAATCCACTTTAGTCGAGCATTAACTTCGTCCTTTGTCTTCATATTAGATTCCGTAAATATAATCGAATCGCGTCAACTCGAAAAAACAAGAAAAAAGTGAGAGAGAGAGAATGAGTGAAGGAAAGGAAAAAAAAAAGATAGGCGCTAGCTAGCAAAGAAGAATAAGAAAGAAAGAATATTCTAGCGACGAAGTTAAAAAGTAAGGAAAAGAAGGAGGAGGTGGAGGAGGAGGAGGAGGAGGAAAGTTTAAGTTTTCTCAATAACTTACGTAATGACGCAAACATAATTTTGACGATAAATTCGAAAAGAAGGAACGGCTGAAAGATCAATGGGGAATAAAACGACGATGACTATGGCAACAAAAATACAAAAGAAAATTGTTTAGAAAAGAGAGAGAGAGAGGGATAAAAAAAAAATAGAAATTGAAAAACGAAGAGGGAGAGAAAAATGTAGATAAAAAAAAATCAAACGAGCACGCTCGTAGGAGGATGTGAAAATGTGGATGGATAGATAATATATAAAAAAAAAAAAAAGAGAAAAAAAATAGAAGAAGAAAAGAAAAGGGTAAGATAAAGGAAAGAGGTCGATCGTGGGTCGGATAAAAAAGAAAAGAAAAGAAAAGAAAAAAAAGAAAGGAAAGAAAGGGCAGGTCTCACGGTAAATACTCTCTTCGTTCTCGCCGATCACGATATATGGAACGCAGAACCATTTCCTGCGTTGCTTCTGTCGATCAATAAACCATCCTCATCCCCTTTTGGTGAAACGCAAACACAAAGTACATGAGAAGACAGATAGTGCACTACGTGCATCGCGCGTTAGCAAGGAAACAAAAGCTTCTATACAGGGTGTTCCGGTGATAAGATCTCTAATTTAGGAAACGTGTAATTAACAAATAGATTCGTACACATCTATGCGCTATTTTTATAAGTACATTAAATACTTTTTTACTTTTTTCGAAATTATGCAAAGACATTTTTTCACGATTGTATAAATAGATTAATTTAGATAAATTATTAACAAAACTCAAAATAATAATAATAAAAAAAAAAGGTCAAATTAGAAAATAATTATTTGTTTTATATACAATATTCAAAATATGGAATATATTATTTCTCCGAAGTGAATAATAATATTCCGTAAATGTTGAATACTATGCACTTATACGTTTACGTGTATGCTTCTTAATTATAGAACTTGTTGGCTGCGTTGTTCGCATGAACATACGGCGCCAGGATGCTTTCGTATCGAGTAAAAGGAGGAGAAAATTAATGGCAAAGTCGTCTACAACGATCCTAAACGCTTAGGAAAAAGGAGAAGAAGAAGCCTTGAAAATGTCGAGGGTGTTGGAATAAAAAGGGGGACGGAATGTGTTATATGTTAGGGGATGACTATAGTGTTTGTTTCTCGGCAGATCGTTTTTAGGCGTTACCGATGAACTTCGCAAATAGAGAATAAGTTAATGTCTGAGTTGGAGAACTTGTAATATATAATTAAATACATATATAGCTAAATTGTCATTTCTTACATATGCACTTTCTTATAGAAATGTAATATCTCATCTCAAATCCTATTTTACAAACGATAAAACACAAATAATATTCTTTTACGAATACAATGGATAACTCGCTGTCGTTTATCACATTGTGGAAACAAGGGATGCGAATCACTTTAATAAATTTCTTTGCAATTGTGATGGATTTTATTCGTTACAAAAAAAAAAAATCATTCATGTCGCAAATTACTGGAATGGTTAATAAGTAAGTTGGCTCTAACATGTATATATAGTTACTTATACCAGGGAGTAAGTAAAGTACTAAGGCTAGTGACCTC